TCTGTAGCCAAAGGGAGTTGATTTTGCATGTTGTTTACGTGGCATGCTGAATCCTGGCGATGATGTTTCTGGCAGCTGCTCTGATGCTGTTGCGACACCCACTTCCCAGGTGGGGCGGAAGCAGGAAGGAGCCGGGCGCTGCCAAGGACAGAGAGTCCAAGCGCAGCTGGTGCCACAGGATCTCTCCTCCTCAAAAGGAGAACGTGGAAAGCCACCTGCCTCCCCCCCCCCTCCAACAGCCTGACTTAAGAGTGGGCAGTTCAAAGCCCCCCCCCTCCCAGTTGCCCTCTGCCCCTGGGACTGGCCCACTGAGCCCATCAGCTGCAGCCCTGCTTGGCGGGAGGAGTGGATCGTCACCACCAGCCATCTGGGCAGAAGTCTTGAGGCTTCTCTGGGGGGCACCGGGGGGGGGGCTTGTTTGAGAATGCTTGGGAAGTCTGGCTCACTCTTTAGCTTGCTACTCCTAATTTTTCCCTTGCTCTTTTTTATGGTGTGTGTGTGTGTGTGTGCGTGCATGCGGTGTCACATGAGGTGAACCCCATTTCTTGTCTTCTGGCTGCAGGTTCACAAACTGGATCCCAACGAATGGAAGAACGTGGAAGCCGTCTACATAGACATTGCGGACCGGAGCCAAGTGCTCTCCAGGGTATGGCAGCCGTGCCAGGGAAGCCGTGTGTGTGTGTGTGTGTGTGCATGCGTGCATGCATGCACACACGCACACACTCGAAGGGCCCCTCTGGCGGGTGGCTCAGCTGCACGTGTGTGTGTGTGTTGTGCTTCGCTGGCTGAAAGAACCGATGCCTCGCCCACCAGCTCTTCCCACTGGAAGGACTGGCCCGCCCCGGGCATGGCCACAAATAGCCCAAGCAGGAGGCCGCTGGCCGCAGGGCGTGGGCTGGATGTGACCTTCTGTTTTCTGCTAGAGCTTTGCAACAGCCTCTCATGCAGGGGAAATCTAGAAAGAGGCTCTACCTTGCAACTGGCTTTTCCCCCATCGGGAACCTAGGCTTCTGTTGCCTGGAGTCTGGGGCGAGGGGGGGGGCTGGCTTCCAGGACAGCCAGAGGCGCTTTCCTCCACCCCATCCCAGCCAACCTTCTTGCTTCTCTTGCTCTGCTCAAAAGCCATGGGGGAGGCCTTTCCGGCCAGCCCTTAAAGAGGAGACGCACAGAGAGGGAGACGCAGCCGCCGTCTGGCCTGCCTGGGGGCTGGCAGATCCACTTGCTTTGGCCCATGGGATGGAGGAATGGACCAGCGCCCTTGGATCTACGCAGCCGCCTTTGAGGACTCGCCCCAGGCTGCTACGCTCCTGGGTGCTGCGGGAGGGAGGAGAGAGGGAACCCGATCCGCTGATGGTGGAAGGCAGGTCTTCTTCTCCCCAAAACGGCTTCTGTGCCCTTTGAGGGGAGGAGGACGTGGCTCCTTCCTTGGTAACCCCCTCTCTTTTCCCTCTGGTCTCCCACAGGATTATAAGCCCGAAGAAGACCCGGCAAAGTTCAAGTCGGTCAAGACCGGCCGTGGCCCGCTGGGGCCCAACTGGAAGGTGGGCACTTGACCTTTGTCTCACCACGAATGCACGTCATCCTGGTGCCGTTCGGGATTCAGGAAGGAGGAGAGTCCCCGTGCAAAGGCCAAGTCATGGAAGTGCTTCCTGTGCATCCCTTGAGTAGTTCCACGTGGCTGCCTGTGGCTCCGTGGCTGACCAATGGGCTGGCCCAGTCCTCCTCAGCAAGGGGTTTTTCCGAAGCCGCCTGCAGAGGCCAGCGGAGCGGAGGGGCGGCTCTCTCATGGACCCAACTTCCCTTCCTGCAGAGGGTGGTTGGCAGGCAGGCGGAGCGGACAGATGGGGTGGCCCTCCCAGGAAGATGGAGTCAGGATGGAAACGGGGGGGGGGGGGGAGAGCTGGCTGTTTGCACAGGCTGTGTCCTGAAGGGGCGCCTTCTCCTCTCTGCAGAAGGAGCTGAGCAAGCAGAGCGAGTGCCCCATCATGTGCGCCTACAAGCTTGTGACGGTCAAGTTCAAGTGGTGGGGGCTGCAGAACAAAGTCGAGAACTTCATACAGAAGGTGAGTCAGGGAGACTCAGCCCTAGATGACCAACAGCGGCCCTTGATGGGGAGGGGCAGCCAGCCAGGAGGCGCCGGCCCCATCCCCCCGGCTCCTCAGTGGAGTGGCCCTTTTGGAAGGCGAAACTGGGTGAGGAAAGTGCAAAGGCAGGCGGCTTTGTTCCTTCGTCCACCTTTCCTCTCTGGGAGGTGACCAAATCGCCGCAGGAGCCTCTGCCAACAGGCGGGGAAGCCCACCTTGCTTGGAAGCATGGCTTTGAGTTCGGCAGGAGAGGCCTGGCCTGGCCCTCTGGGGGCACGCGCGGGGGCAGCCAGCCAGGAGGCGCCGGCCCCATCCCCCCGGCTCCTCAGTGGAGTGGCCCTTTTGGAAGGCGAAACTGGGTGAGGAAAGTGCAAAGGCAGGCGGCTTTGTTCCTTCGTCCACCCTTCCTCTCTGGGAGGTGACCAAATCACCGCAGGAGCCTCTGCCAACACAGGCAGGGAAGCCCCCCCCCACACACACACACCAGTTACCCTCAGATACGAGTATCTGAACAGGTACGAGGGGAAGGAAAGCTGTGGGTCAGAGCAGGGGGCCTTTGGAGCAGCGCACATGGGCCGCTGAACACCTTCATGGACCTCCTCCCGGGGTGGTGAGCCAGGGCTCCAGGCAGCCCTGGGCCCCTTGGAGGGAGCAGCTCAAGACCACCCAGTGCGCAGCTGTAAGACCTCAGAACAGTCGGCCAAGTGCAGATGAACTCCCAGACCATCCAGATCTGGTGGTGCCAGCAAGCCGAGTGCCACCATGTGTTTGAACAATGGAGCAGCCCTCCGTCCTGCCAGAAATGCCAACTCCTTGCACCTTCCTTTTGCAGCAAGAAAGGCGGCTTTTCACAAATTTCCACCGGCAACTGTTCTGCTGGCTTGACAGATGGGTTGACCTGACAATGGAGGACATTCGGAGGATGGAGGAGGAGACGAAGAGGCAGCTGGACGAGGTCAGTCTGCAAGGACACCATCTGCTGAAAGGAGGAGGGGGTGAATCCAGGTTTCCCCGGGAAGAAGCACTGGCTCTGCAGGCCTCCCGCCCGCTGGATGGCTCTTGCTTTCAGAGGCCGTCTCTGGCAGACGGAAAGAGCTTTTTACTTGGTGAATGAGCGGAGATGGCTTTTTTCCCCTCTTGCAGATGAGAGAAAAGGATCCCTTGAAAGGAACGTCAGCTGCAGATGACTAGCGTGGGTTCCAGTTTGTGCAAAGTACGTAGCCGAGTGTGTGTTTCTGTGCGTGTGTGTATTCTGGAGGTGCCCAGCTCCCTCCCAAGTTTAAAAAGAGGCAAAACACACAGAGAGGTGGGGAAAAAGAAGCATCCTATCTGAGCGTCTCCTCTTGTCTCAGAGCCAGCACCGGCTTAAAGCAAGTAGAATACTTGAGAATAATTTTGGAGGGATGCAGTGTCTCTGAGGGTTTGCGTTAAGGATCAGTCCCTACAACTGGAGCAGGGGAAGAATTTGGATTTGGTCCTTTTGGATTACCTCACTTGCAGAAGCAGCCAAACCATCACATGTTTCTTTCTCTCTCTTAGAACCATGAAAGAGTGTTTGGCAGAGTCAAGTTGTCCTTCCAAGTGGCCCAAATAACCCAGTTTCTCTCTCTTTCTCTCTTTTTGCTGTAGTTTGTGAAGTAGCCATCAGGAAGGCCCAGGAACTCCACCCTCTTGACCTCTGGACCATCTCTGGATCAAGCCCTCCTCTGTCCAGTCCTGCCAGCAGGCAACTTCCAGCCTCCCCCACCTAACTCTCGTTGCCCTTAATATTGTGAGCAAAATTCCAGTCCTGAGCACTCTGGGCCTTGGCACCCGGGAAGGGGGTGGCGCCTTCGGGACGAGCGCACCCGTGACTGTCCTGCCTTCTCCAAAGAGTGTTCAGGCCGATTTCCCACATGGCTCTCTCCATGTGGCCCTTTTAGCTGGCATTGTCTTTTGATGTGGTGATTTAGATTTCATCTGTACATTTAGAGATTATTTTGCCCCCCTTCCTTCTCCCTTTTAAGTACCGGGATAAACTGCTGCCTTTGTTTCTCTCCGGCTCCCCACTTTCCTTTGTCAGGTTGTAGAGAGGGCTTTCAGTATTCGGGTGCCAGGCGTGATGTCCTTGTGACAGGAGACGGGACTGTCCTTTCTGCCCCCAGACAGCCAGCCACGCGATGCGCGGCTCTCCTGGCGCTCAGGGGCAGGGCTTTGCTGCTGACTCCCAGCCCCAGAACACACACGCCCCCCCCCTTTGGGATTTTCTGCCCATGCCTCTTGCTGCGGAGCCCTGCCTGGCGTCTTTCTAGGGCCTGGGCTCCTTTGGGGGGAGGGTTGCTGCTTTTGGGGTGGCATGTTTTGGAGCAGGTGGTTGAGTTGGCCTCTGAAAACTGCTGGAGAAAGGCTCCCGGCAGTCCCCCCCTGCCTTGTCCTGCACTGCAAAGAGACGACCCGATGGTCTCCAATCTGGACACGGTTTGGGGGAGGGGGCATGCATGGGGGGGGAGGTGAAAGAAAAGCCAGAGCAGGCCTTCCATCTTGTCCTGCTTTTGCGCTGCTTCAGCCTCCTGAGCAATAATAAGTCCTGTGATCCTAAGCAGGAAGAGAAGTTTAGGCCAGCAGGAAGGAAGGGCTGCGAGGAGAGGGACAGACCAGAGGGGTCCCCGGTGGCTGTCGAAGAGAGTGGCCCGGGGAGGGGGGTGAGGCGGAGGGAGCCCTCTTTTTTTTAAAACCAGAAGGTGGGTATCTACATGAGACAATCATAGGGGCAGGAGGGTGCTGGAGCAAATGCTGGAGCCAGTGCAAGCTGAGGCATTCCCTGCCTGCAGCTACTTTTGAGGCAGGAAGCAGCAGCAGCCGCTGTTTTGCGACCAGCGGGCTCCCCGTCTCCCTCCAAAGCCAGACTGTGGCCACCACCCCCGCCTCCTCCCCCTACAACCTGGGGACAGAGGCAGGCGTTCAGCACAGACCTAGAGAGGACGGTAGTGCATCTTTGGGAGAAGCAGAGGAAGACACACACACACCCCAAAGCCTCTGTGGCCATTTATCCCTGTTCCCCTTCTGTTCAGTTCCATTCTTTGCCTTATCGATGTCCAAGTGCAATAAGCTAAACTTGATCTATGCTCTGTGCGTACCCTCTTCCTGGCAGATGCTTCCTTAGTTGACCACATGGGGTTTTTCCCTCCTTTCCTTTCCTGGGAATTTGATTTCTGGCAGAAAGGAAGTTGGGACCCTCCTCAAGCACTGGATCTTTGTCTGTTAGAGAGAGGGAGAGAGTGCCCACAGAAGCCGAGGCCACGTCCTTTGGGATGAGGAGCCCCCATGTTGCGTTGCGTGGTCCTTTGCTCTTCCCCTTGTGGCTGCTAGCTAATCCCAGGAGCCTAAAATGCTGAGACCTGGGAATTAAAAACACTGAACTTTTATTTACTTTTTTTTCCCTTGTGGCTAATGAATTGTAAGAGGATTCTTATGCTTGAATGTGTTACTGTTTCTACAGCGGATCTTATATTGCTCCTGCTGCTCAAAAGAGCTTTTGTGTTTTGAGCTGAGGCTTTTTAGCTGGTTGACACCACATCTCTATAGAAACAGATGGTGGCATTTTAAAGGCTGGGGGAGAGAATCAGAGAAGATGGAGAAATCTCGGGGGCCGAAAAGCTCTCATTAAAACACAAAGCTTTTCTGCTTGGCAGTAAGAGCAAGGGAAATGCAGTAAAAAACCTCCCGTCCGCGTGCCCTTTGTTCTGCACTTTATGTGTTCAGTTTTCTGAGACCCTCCCCACCTGCCGCCTTGTCAGGCAGGGCTTCCTCGCCTCCAGTCCCATGGCTGCGGCTGCAGCGTGGACTAACCTCTTGCTCCTGCCAGGCAAAACGGGGTGGGGTGGGGTGGGGGAGTGGGAGTGGGGTCCCGTGCTCAGATGGAGCTCCAAATGCACAGCTATTGTGGGTCATGCTTGGCTTGCTCGCCTAGAAGCCCAGACCCCTCAGCTTCTTCTGGGGAGGGGGGCAAAGGGAGTGTCGGGGGAAGAGGGCAGGAAGGTGCTGAGCTGCTCCTTTCTGTCTCTGCCTGGGCTGCAGCCTCTCCAGCCCCCCCCAGCTCCCTCATTCCCTACGCCACCCCCCAAAAATAAACCAGCATGGTCTTGCCTTTCCAGGCTCCCCGTTTCCTGCCAGAGGGGGCAGGGGCGGCTCTGTGGCCCGTTTGGATTGGTTTCCTTGTGCTCTTCCTTTTTATGGCATCACATTCGGTAGAATCAATTAGATGATCTCCTTGTTTCTTTCATGTGAGTTTGTGCCTTTTTTTCTCCGCCCCCCCCCCATAATTTTCCAATACAGGCATATTGGAAACGACTCTAATAAAATCATAGACAGAGTGTCCCTGAGTCTGGCCTGGTTTTTCTTGTTGCTGGTGGAGGGAGGAAGGGAGGGGTGTGTGT